GGGCAGCCGCACCCCTTGCTCTTGGCGCCTCCCTCTCCCTCTGTAACACCTCTCCTCCCCGCTTGCGCTTGGCGAAGCCCTGCCGAGATCCTGCTGCATCCACCACCACGCCGTCGTGCTGCTGGATCTTCATCAACCTCTCCTTCCCCCTTGCTGAATCAAGAAGGAGGAGACGTCTTCCTAACCGTACGTGTGTTGAACGCGGAGGTGCCGTCCGTTCGGCACTAGGTCATCGGTGATTTGAATCACGTCGAGGTCGACTCCATCAACCCCGTTCTCTTGAACGCTTCCGCACGCGATCTACAAGGGTATGTATATGCACTCCTCTCTCCCTCGTTGCTAGATGACTCCATAGATTGATCTTGGTGATGCGTAAAAAAATTTAAAATTCTGCTACGTTCCCCAACAAAGACGACGTAAGCTCCATGCTCTTTGGGGTATTCATCTTGGACCGCGCCGACTGCTGGGCGAGCCACCGACTGCTGGGGAGGAGGCGGCGGCTGGCCAGCAGGTGGAGGAGGTAGCAGGCCTTCGCCCTTGGAGATTCAAGTGAGCCAGTGGCACTTCCGGGTGGTGTGGTTGGACAGCTTCGTGCCGCTATGGAATTTGCAGGGAGCATCAAGGGTTTGCTCATAGGAGAAAGCGGGCAGCCAAGCAGGCTTTCCGCCCTTCTGACGCTTGGGGCCGGGTTGTCCCTCCGGCTGCTGGTCCTCAACTATCGCCATCTGCCGACTGGTGGAAGCTGGCTGCGGGGACTTGCGCTTGTTGTCGTTCTGCTGCTGGCGCCGATTGTTGTCACCAGATGGCGTCCGGGGAGCCGGTGGGAGCACTTTTCCGGTCGCGTCCACTTGGAGCTCCGACTTCATGGAGGAGTCGGCCGTGGCGTACTTGTCTGTTATGATCAGCAACTTGTCGAGGGTAGCCGGCTCATCACAGAGGAGTCGGTGCTTGAGCAAGGTGCCCTCTCGGCATCCGGCAGTGAAGTACTCAATGGCTTGCACATTGTGCACCCCTTCGCAGGAGTTGCGTAGTTCGGCCCACTGCGTCAAGTAGTCACGCGTGGACTCGGTGGGGCCTTGGACGCACAGAGAAAGCTGGCGAGCCTTGGGCGGCCGCTTGTAGGTGCTGGTGAAGTTGCGGATGAAGACTTCGGTGAAATCTACCTAGCTGTTAACGCTGTGGGGCTTCAGGCTATTCAGCCATGTCTGGGTCCTGCCCTGGAGCATGAGCGGAACGTACTTCACAGCAACACACTTGTTGCCGTTTGCTATATTGACACCCGTGGAGTAATCCACCAGCCAATCCTCCAGCTTCACGGAGCCGTTGTACTTGGGCGTATATCTTGGGAGCCTAACCGGTCGCCGAGTGTCGGGTGGTCAACAGGCGACGGGGAAGCACGCCTCTCTCGACGAGGAGGGGGAGGAGGCGGAAGATCGTCCCGTCGTTCCACTGCTCGAGGGCGGTCGTCTTGGTCACGCCCGATGGTGATGTGCGTCCGGCTGCGGCTCTCTGTCTCTTCGGTCGCGGTTGCCGCCTGTCGACGACGGGAGGTCGCGCCATGCTCTCGGCGAGGGGGGAGGTTTTCAGCATGCTGGCTGGGTTCCTCCACGCGGCAGCCGGCCTCTTGCTGCGCAGCGGCCGCGTCGATGAGTTGTTGAACGTGCCCTGTTATGCAGCGGCGCTCGTCGCCCTCCAGGTGGTCCAGCTCATCTGCTGCCGCCTGGACAGCTCGTATGTTCTCCACAGGCATGGCATAGACAGGGCGGTCTACCCCAAACATGCTGGCAACGGCAGCGCCGCGCTGTCGGACCGTGCCTACATGGCTGGGCCCGCCAGCAGCTGGCGTGCCGCCAACGGCGCGGTCAATCTCGCACTGGAAGGCCTCGGAGAGGCGTCTCATGGTAGCCAATTGCGTTCTTAGCGAGCGAGACACGGCAGGCTTCTAGCATCTTGGCGTTGGCATCTGCCGTGATTGGTGTGGATAGGTCCCGCATTGCCGCCTGCAGCGGGTCCTGGGTGGCTCCGCCGGAGGCACCGTCATGGCCGATGACAAGCACCTCCGTGATAGTGCTGACGCCGCTCTCCGCGCGAGGGAGTGGGTCGTCAATGACCACCACGTTGGCGGGGAAGGAGTCGAAGGAAGCCGCGTCGGTGTCGACAAGTATCGGGTCGGTGGAGCCAACCGACTCTAGGTCAGTGGTGGGCTCGTTGGCGATGTGAAGCTTGCCAAGGAGGTTGACGAAGCAGCTCTCGGAGCTGGCTGCTCCCGCGTCGGGTGTGGGCTCGTCGGAGAGGCGGATCTTGCCGACGAGATCAGCAAGGCTGGCCGCCGTGCAAGCGACTTCTGCGCCATGCAGCGCGTCGGCGCAAACGTCATCGGGTGTGCCGGGCTGGCTGCACTCGTTAGGGAGGAAAAGTGTTCCCGTCCAGAATAGATGTCCGGACGACGGTGCACCTAGCCCCAAGGTGGGCGCCAAATGTCGAGGGGTGTCGTGCGACATATGCCAAAGGATGGCTTATCATGGTGTGGGAGAGTAATACATCGTCGGTGCCTAGAAACGGGATAAGGCGTAGATAGGTACGCCGACGCATCTTACCCAGGTTCGGGGCTCTCCTAGGAGATAACACCCCTAGTCCTGCTTTGCAGGGTCTCCGCATGATCACTATCTTAACAAGTAGCTATAAGCTTGCTCCTTGAGCTGTATGGCTAAAGGAGGAAGAAGGGCAAGGCTAGCTCTACTCCTCTCTCTATGTGTGTGTTATCTAAGAGGCTGAACCCTTTGCATGGGCGTCCTGAGGGGTTTATATAGGCCTACCCTCCGGGGTACAATGGTAATCTGGCTGGGCGTAGGACCCATCCGTCAGTGTCTGTGGTGCCCGACTTCTTCGCCGGCTGCTGGGGCCCGCCGCCTGGTGGGTCCCACTAGTTGTTTTGTACTTGATCGACAGGCCGTGCCCGTCGCTCGCGGGTCCTGCCAGCTGCTTAGCACTGTAGCAGCGCCACTGATGATGTGTGCTTTGTCGGGGGAGCGTGGTTACAATGCCGCTGCCTGACGGGCGTTTACTGTAGCAATTCCCCATCACTTCTGATTAATGGCGCACAGACTTTGAGGGAAGGGGAGGGTCGACTGCTGGGAGTCGGCCTCCCCTCGCCGACTGGTCAGGGCCTGCCATCTTCTAGCTTCTCACAGACAAATAGGGCCCGCCGCCTACAGGTCGTACCAACGGCCCGTAGTGGGAGCATGGCTCCTCTTGTCATGGGTCACATGGCAACAGTGTCGCGTCGGGCAGGGGATGTCCGCTCGGCACGTAACACTGTGGCCATGCTCAGCCCTGGATTTGGGGGTGGCAAGCTATACTGTAGTCACGCCTCGTCTCCTCATCATAATGACATGTAAACTTTGAAGGAGAGGGGGTCCGACTATCAGAAGCCGGCCTCCCTGGAGGCCACCTGGTAGGAGTCGGCCCACCTCATGGCCGTCCTCTGGGCCCCGCCGCTGTCTATCAGCCGGCCGCTTGGACCAGCCGGTCCAAAGAAGACGACTATTCATCTTTGTGGTTTGAGGGACGTAGCCGGCTCCGATGTCTTGAAATATTAGGGGGAGCGGATGAGGCTATCCGTGGTCATTTACTCCGACAGTGAGTGAACGAAAGAAACGAAGTATGGACTTTTCCATTATGAGTAAAGATTTTTTTAGAAAATACTCCCTCCATTCTAAATTACTTGTCTTGGATTTGTCTAGATACGGATGTATATAGACTCATTTTAGTGCTAGATACATCCGTATCTAGACAAATCTAAGACAACTAATTCGGAACGGAGGGAGTAGTACCAACGAAATGATCTATGTGTGGCCCACAATTTAAAACTCACCGAGCCGCACCGATAGAATCCCCCTCGCTTCTCGCCGGGGCCAGTTTGATCCGTCCGCCTCCATGCCTGCTCCAGTCTCCATGACGACCTAGGTGTTTCTTCTCTCCTCGATCGACCGCGGACGGTTCTCCTAACCTTCTTCTCAGCCACCTTCCTCTCGTCTCCTCGTCGGTTGGAGCCGCGCGCACTCGCCGCCGACGCCTACACGCCGCGCGCCCTGCCCTCGCCGTACGCCTTGGGTTAGGTATGTCCCCTTCTCAATTCTCAGTTATGCCCTTGTTTTTTTTTTGGCTGAGAGTTGAGATATCTGGTAATTTAGACGTCGACTCCATCGATTAACCCTTACAAATCTTGACGCATTATGAATTCCTTGTTCAACAGACTAGGCAGTTCTTTTTTAAATTGTCTATTTTGAGAGTTGGCTAGCTCTTGTGTTTTGCTGACGCTCAGCCACGTATGCAGATCATGGAGGGCCAGCCCATGGTGAGCTATTCGGCAGGATCAGTGAACTCTGTTGTCTACAAGCTCACCAAGCTAAAGGATTGCTCCCTTGTAATTGAAGGGTTACAAAAGGATCTTATGATTCTTTTGGAGAGTTTCAGCCAAGTGGTTGTGTTGCCAAGTAAGATGAATTGGCAAGTCCAAGTGTGGATGAAAATTGTGAGGGAGTTGGTCTTCGACATCGAGGACTGGATCGATCAGATGCCGGCGATGCCAAACACAGGGGGCAAACTAGTGGATTTAGAAGATGAAGTGAAAAGATTCAAGGCCCGGATCGAGCACGAGTGTGAGCTCTGTGAAAGATACGGTCTTCGTTATTGAAGTGTCGTCTGAACTTCGTGATCCTGCTTCTTTACCCGGCCACACCCAAGTTACAGTTGCTTCACATATACTTTTCGAGGAGAAAACTGCCCTTGTCGGGATGGAAGTTCCAATGGATGAGCTTGTCAAGCATCTCACTGGTGAGCATGAGAAGCGGCGGAAGGTGGTTTCCATCCTCGGGGTGGAAGGCCTTGGTAAGACTACTCTTGCCAAGGAGGTTTATTCAAAGATTCAAGGGAACTTTGAGTGCCGAGCTTTTGTTACTCTTGGCCGGAGACCATCCATTAGGGAGACTGTGCAGGAAATACTTTGTCAAGTAAACCCCTCTGCAGAAAAGAAAATAAACCTGAAGATTGATCCTAGGCATGGAAGGGGCGCAGCCCCGGATCTGAAAAAACTCCTCACTGAGCTTTGGAAGTACCTCGCCACAAAGAGGTACTGCCTTGCAGTTTAATTACCTCTTCCTTATCTAGGTTTCTTGACTTGACGTAGGAAGTTGAAATTTCGGGAAATAAACCATGTACCCAGCCCAGAATGCATCTTGAGGAAAGCACTCGTAATGGTAGATATGTTTTGTTCAACGTAGTATGTACTTCTTAGGCATCTGAACTTTTATATATTAAACTTCATTTGGGAAGAGAATCAACTAGTTAGAGGGGTGGTTGTACACCCAGCCTACCAAGGATCGAATTCCAGGTGGCAATACTTGGGTGTTCTTTTGTTACAAAGTAGTCAAATTCACTTAGATCTTCTCATCTTAGGTTGTGCTTGGTTTTTGTCCAAGGCTGCCATACCAAAAGATTGATTATCCAAACTTTGGTAAAGGCTTTTCTTCCCTATGGATTGGCCAACATTGGCTAAAAGAATGAACTAGAGTTGGCAAAAGAGCATTGCCATGCCAAAAATTTGGCCCTCGGTCCACCCGAAGATTTAGGTTCTTTTTTATTAATGTATCTACACTGCTTTTTTGGTCAAATCAACAGCACATGTCTGATGCTGATATCTTTTTAGGTGGCACACCCGAATGTCCCTGGCTCTAGTATGACCTCATCTAAAAAAAGATCAATGTTTTGATCATGGTCGAAAGCCGAAAAATTGACAGGGTACACTTTGGCCACAAACCAAATATACCCTTAATCCAATATTTGACAACCCTCTCATTTTCTTCGTAGTAGGAAAATTGTTTTTTTTTTTTGAGGAGAAATTTCTCGACATCAGCCAATAGATGGTGTATGCTTTCTGTTTCATGGTTATCGTGGAAGTTTCTAAGGGAATCTGCAATAGAAATTGATACATGCTTACATAAATCAGTTTCATGTAAAAAAAAGTTACATAAATCAATTTGAAAACCAAAACGGTAACTGGTAGCTGCTCGGTCGGTGTTGAGTAGCGATTAAACAGTGAATCGTCCGATATTTGTAACTTTGCGAATTTCTATGTATGTGAAGTTGGATATTTATATTTGAATTTTTCGCACCGTCCGTCATATCTTACTTTTTGAATTGTCATAGTAGCTTATACTGATTTGTCATTTAATATGTCAGGTATTTCATCTTAGTGGATGGCTTATGGAGCACACAGGCTTGGAAAATTATCAATTCTGCTTTGCCCAACGAGAATAATGGAAGCAGGGTATTGACAACAACATGCATCAGTGCTGTTGCTCAACGTTGTTCTGTACATCCCATGGATATCTATCGGATTGAGCCACTTAACGAGGAGATGTCTGCAAGATTATACCTGAAATTAATTCGGCAAAAAGAATGGCCGGCTGATCATGCTGAAGTAACCAAAAACATGTTTAAAATGTGTGGTGGCATGCCATTGGCCCTAGTTCTTGCAGCTGGCTTATTAGCAGCAAAATGCAAACAACTACCAGAGCCCGAGATATCTGTTGTCTCATCAGTGGAGCAATATTCCAAATCAGATGGGATTATGAAGACACTGCAGATGAGTTATGATGCTTTGTCTTTGCCTCTGAGGTCTTGCTTGTTGTACCTGAGTGTCTTTCGAGGAGGTTGCACCATCAAGAAGGACCGTCTGATACGATTATGGATTGCTGAAAGACTTATCCCTCGAAAAGATGATGAAAGAAGAGCTCAAGAAATAAGAGGTGATGGAGGAGAAGAAACGAGAGTTGAAGGAGGTGAAATCATAGGATATGAAGAAAATGGAGGTAAAGAAACAGGAGACGAAAAAAGCTTGTGGGAGACAGGGCAGCTCTACTTCAAAGAGCTTATCATCAGGAGACTGATTCAACCTGTGTTCAACTACAATGATGACCAGCCAGTGAGTTGCACCGTTCATGGTGTGATTCTTGATTTCATCAATTCTTTGTCGAGCAAAGGTAACTTTGTTACAGTTGGTGGTGCTCATTTGAGCACAGACATGGTTCGGCGATTCTCGCTAGACTGCTTTAACAACAATGACGAAGACAGAGATGCCACCTTGGCGTCATTTGCTATGCACTTATCTAGAGTGCGATCTATGATTGTTTTGGGTGATATTGAAGGGATAGCTGGTCGTTCGGCCCTCACATTATCTGGAAAAATCGATGGGACTCCTGTTCTTCCATCCTTCAAACTTTTAAGAGTACTTGATCTGGAAGGTACTTATCATTTGAGAAGCCGCCATCTTCAAGGCATCGGGGGATTGGTTCTGCTGAGATACCTGGGGGCTGCAGAGACTGCAATCGATTCTTTACCAGAGGAAATCGGAGAACTAGGGCAGCTGGAGACCCTGAATTTGAGGAAGACAAAAATGCTGAGCACTTTGCCTACTTCTATAGCTAAGCAGAAAATGTTGGCACATCTGCTAATTGACGGCACCGTCAAACTGCCTAGCGAAATCCTGAAAATGCAAGGATTAGAAGAAGTATCAACTGTTGGTGTCTACAGTAGCAGGTCAATTGATTCAGTGGCAGAGCTCTTGAGGAAGTCGGAGCGGCTGAGGGTCCTTGGCATAAGATTGGATGGGTCACACTTATCTAATGATAACGGGAGTGTCAGGACTTTCCTCATGGAGGTTACAAGGTCTAATAAGCTTACTTGCCTATCACTTGATTGCCTCAATTTTGGTTTGCTTGACATACCGCTGGAGTTCCCTCCATCTGATCAGCTCTGAAGATTTCAGCTGAAAATCTCGGTTCCAGTCCTCGGACGGACTGCACACAGGATGGCCTCTCTTGTCAGCGTTACCCACTTGGATATTGAAATTGTTCGATTAGAAGATGAAGCTGTCCGTGCCCTGGGAGGTTTGCCTCATCTAGTCCTTCTCAAGTTAGTTTCTTCAGGTGGCATAAGATTCAGCTCACAACTCAAATGGAACCCAGAAGGCAGGTGCAAAGTCGGCGTGGACCAGGGCTTTAAGTGTGTGAAAGTATTATCGCTCATATGCCGATCTGGTGGGACGGAGCTGGAGTTCACACCAGGAGCCATGAAGGAGCTACAGAGGCTGACGCTCGACTTCAGCGCACGGGAAGCACTGTGTATCTATGGAAATTTCAGTTTTGGCATCGAGCATCTCTCTTCCCTCACACGAGTCCATGCCATGATTAGCTGCAAATGTGCTGTAGCTTCGGAGGTGAATACTGTGAAGGATGCGATACGAGAACAAGCAGGTAACTTGTCTAGCAAACCCACGATCGAATTTACCACAATAAATGAACACATGATAATTCCTGATCACAAAGCAAAGACAGCAGCAGTTTCCCCTAAAATTTGGTTAAACGGGTGTATCAACTTCAGACAAACTGCCTAGCATCGTAAGAGGTCAGGATGGAGTCAATTTTAATCACATGTGGCTGAAGCACTCATGCAGAACAGGACACGCGACTTCGTCTTCTTCTCTAGTACTCCCTCCGTTTCGAATTACTTGTCGCGGGTATGGGTATATCTAGATGTATTTTAGTTCTAGATATATCCATTTATATGACGAGTAATTTGAAACAGAGGGAGTAGTACTAAGTAAAATCTTTTACGTGTTGTAACCCGCAAGTGTAGTGGTATGTACTTTTTTTTCAAAAAGGAGGACTTCCCCTGCGTCTGCATCAAAATGATGCATGAAGCCATTTTATTGATGTGAAGTTCCAAAACAAAGTCTCAAGTTCCAAAAAGCTCACAAAAAGAGCATGAAACAAATCAGTAAAAAGAGAACTGCCACAGCCGGTGAAAAATAAGCCAAGATGACTAAATACCTATCCTATTCGCCATCCAAGCCGGTTGTAGATAACCCGTACTGCCATCTTTCACCGGTTGCACCCAATATCTAAAAGCTCCCTGGAGTCCGCATGCTTAAGTAACGACCACGTACGGATCCAAGCAGTGGCTCTGTGTATCTTGTTAAAGATAATGTCATTTCTGTAGTTCAATATAGCCCAAAATAATGCGCATATCCCTATCCGAATATGTCCCACAATATATGATTCCACTTCGGTTAGCCACGTCCCAAATAACGTGTCTATACTAATCGGAGGACTAACATTAAAGGCTATATATATCGTGCGCAGAGTTGTTTCGTGAGAGGACAATGCCACAAAAACAACATCGTGAACTACCCACCCATCTTCTTTTTACCAATTTATCCTTGGTTAAAATCACTTCCTTGTGGACAAACCACATGAAGATTTTGATTCTTAGCGGAACTCTAACCTTCCAAATGTGAACGGATCTCCTTATTGGCCCAGAGTTAATTAAGTCCAAGTACATAGATTTCACTGTGAAACTACCGTTCCTAGATAATTTCCAGTGGATGGCATCTGGCTGGTCCGAGAGTTGAACGTCCATCAACCTACACACCAGATGTAAACGTTCCCCCACTAAAGCCCTCCTGAACTGAATGTTTAGTGGAACCGACTGTAATGCCGTAGCAACATAAGCCTCCTTACGGTGTACAATATTAGAGAGAGAGGGATATTGTAAGGCTAAAGGCGTCTCCCCTAGCCATGTATCTTCCTAAAATCTAGTACCGATGACATTCCCAATGTTAAACTTGACTCTCTGAAAAAAGTTTCTTTCGTCCTCATTAACCCCTTCCAGAAAGGCGAGTCATTAGGTCTTACAGTAACTTGGACCAATGTCTTAGATCATAGTTATTTATTACGCAAAATTTGTACCTATGTACCTTCATTCTCAACAGACAACCTAAATAGCCATTTGCTAAGTAGGCATCTATTTTAACCTCTAAGTTCTCGGCCCCTAACCCGCCTTGGTCCTTGGGTCTGCAGATTATATCCCATCTAGTCAATCTGTATCTCGTTTTCACTTCATCACTTTGCCAGAAAAAACGAGATCAATAGAAATCTAATCTTTTGCGTACCCCTACCGGTACTTCAAAAAAAAGATAGTAGGGACATCGGCATACTAGTTAGAACCGAGCTTATGAGCACTAGCCGGCCCCCATAAGACATAGCTTGCCCTTCCAACAGCTTAGTTTTCTCTGAAATCGGTCTTCAAGTCCACTCCTTATTCGATAATTTCTGATGATGAATTGGTATCCCTACGTACGAGAACGGTAAGGATCCCATTTCCCATCCAAACAATTGTCTATACACATCTTGTTCCTCTTTGGCCCTCCCAAAACAGAACAATTCACTTTTGTTAAAATTAATTTTCCGTCCCGACAATTGTTCCAAAAGGCAAAGAACTTGTAAGTGCATCTAGTGCCACCCCTAGTTGGTTTTGGAGTATTGGCGACAAACGTGGTTGAGGGACTAATGTGTTTGTGAGATTCACAAGAGAACACAGGTAGAAGTCCCTCACTGGTTCGGTTTACCTATCAGAGATGACTGAGGGAGTCCTGGATTAGGGGGTCCTCGGGTGTCCGGTCTATTCGATATGGGCCAGGCTGATGGGCTGTGAAGACAAAGCGGAAGATTATCTCCCGTGTCCGGGTAGGACTCCTATGTGTGTGAACGGCAAGTTTGGTGTCCGGGTGTACTATTTCTTTCCTCTGCAAACCGACTCTGTACAACCCTATGCCCCTCAAGTGTGTGTATAAACCGGAGGGTTTTAGTCCGTAGAGGCCATCAGAATAATCATAGGCTAGACCGCTAGGGTTTGGCTATTACGATTTCGAGGTATATCAACTCTTGTAACCCCTATACTCATCGAATACGATCAAGAAGGACATAGGGTTTTACCTCCTTTGAGAGGGCCCGAACCTGGGTAAACGATGTGTCCCCATTGTCCCTTGTTAGCATTGATCCTTAGACTCACAGCTTGGGCCCCTACCCGAGATCTGCCGGTATTGACACCGACAGTGGTGCTTTCATTGAGAGCTCCGCTGTGTAGTCACGAAAAGCGATCTATGGCTCGCCTTGTCATCAACGACGATATCACCTATGGAAGGAGCCTAACTTTAGGACATGTCCTCTAGATCGGCGGTTTCACCATGGGTGCCCGCATGGCCATCAAGCCGACAACGTCCCCCGTGATCGCCAAACACCACCCCTGCATTAGTCTCGAATACTCCGAAAAGATGGATCCGATGGACACCTCGTCCTTAAACGAGCTGCTAGATTGCATTGCCTCCCTGGGGCTTTCAGCGGCCTATGATCGGATCAGGCTTAAACCTGACCAGAGGGAAATCAATCTCTCGCCGATCACCCACCTGGTAGTGATCGTCGGGGAACAAGCCGAAAACGCTTCTTCTCCTGAATTAAAAACCATCCATGTTCGGACCTCTGAATCCCTTGAGTCGGATACCCTTCCTTTGGGTGGCACACCGCACCCCCCGAACTCAGGGTCGGATTTACATTCCGGGGAGCACTTGGATCTTCCCGGACCCGAACTGGTGACCTCGTAGATTTTACAAGCTTCGGACACAATTTTGGGCCGGGATTCGAGTTTTAGCCCACCCACCCACCACAATCAATGCTCTCCAAGTAATTTAGGCCCTCCAAACATATATGACATGATGTATGTACGGAAACAGCCTCGGGAAATGGTCCATCACTTTTGGGCCAGGTTCCTACTTGTCAAAAACAAGATTAAAGATTGCTGCGACGATGATGCAGTCCCGGCCTTTTATCACAATTGTACCGACGAGGGAATTCGGAATGCCCTCGACCGCCATCACATACAGAGTTTCACGAAACTATCGCACGTAGTATGAAAGTACGGTGCAATGGAAAGCACATGGAAGGCACAGAAAACCCAATTGGAACCTGCTGCCTTTAAGCAGTGCACGACCCGGGCAAAACGGATACATCCTCACGAGGCATCCGACCATAAGCCCGTCGGCAAGAAAAACAAACCTTTTTTGGGATACAGGTCCGTTCTTGACGAACTCCTCGATAAGCCCTGTCCGATACATATGATGCCAAGCTTAGACTCAACTCACAGCCTTCGAGCATGTTGGGTACTCCGGCAAGTAGCTAAAAGTGGGGAGGCCATCCTCACCACCTCCACTCCAGAGAAACACCCTCTGGAAGATGACGATTTTAATGTCCTTACGGTCTTCGAGACTTTCTCTTCAAATAACCGGCGTAAGAGGGCACTTCGCGAACTCGCCGAAGTCCACCAAGTAGCCGCATCGAGCCCATGGAGTGACGCGACAATAACCTTTACCGCTGACAATGAACCAAGGGCCCGATCAGTCCGAGCACCCGCCGCTTTAGTACTAAAACCCATTGTGGACGACTTTCGACTTACCAAAGTGCTCATGGACGGCGGTAGTGGGCTAAACCACATTTACGAGGACACGCTTGACAAAATGCAGATTGATAGAACACGCGTCGAGCAAAGAAATACCACCTTTCGAGGCATCATCCCTAGTCGAGAAGCACGATGTTCGGGGAGAATTAAACTTGATGTAGTATTCGGCACGCCTGAAAATTACAGGTCAGAAGAGTTGCTCTTTCAAGTTGTTCCCTTCAATAGCAGATATCACGCCCTTCTAGGGCGGGACGCTTTCTCACGCTTCCAAGCAATACCCCATTACGGGTACATGCAGCTTAAAATGCCAGGGCCCAACGGAATAATCACAGTTACGAGTGATCCGGATAAGGCACTCTGCGCCGGAAACAAAACCGCATCCCTGACTCTTGAGTCACTATCCGAAGCCTTTGCGGTCGAAGAACTAACGACCCTACGATCCACGATGGACAAGGATAATGTAATACTCGACAAGAGACCTAAATCCACCTCTTTGAAGCCAGCAGATGAAATAGTTAAATTTCAAGTGCACCCGACGGATCCTAATAAAACAGTGTCCATCGGAGCACAGCTGGATCCGACAGTAGATGCCGCTTTTCGCGTGTTCCTACGTGAAAATTGGGATATCTTCGCCTGGTACCCTCCAGACATGCCTGGGATCCCACGCAGACTAGCCGAATACAACCTTAACATAATCAAAGGGTTCAAACCAGTCAAGCAAACATTGCGGCGATTTTCTGAACCCAAATGACAAGCTATGGGGGAGGAGCTAGCCAAATTACTTGAGGTCGGGTTCATCAGAGAAATCAAACACCCGGCTTGGCTAGCCAACTTGGTCATGATGTCGAAGAAGGAGAAATCTTGGCGCCTTTGTGTCGATTTCAAAGACCTCAATAAGGCTTGCCCTAAAGACCCTTTCCCATTGTCCCGCATTGACCAAATCATTGACGCAACTATGGGACACGACTCACTATGTTTCCTCGATGCTTACTTCGGATACCATCAGATTAAAATGAAGGAGTCCGACCAGGCAGCGATGGTATTCATCACCCCTACGGGCCTTTCTATTTCAACACCATGCCTTTTGGGCTTAAAAACGCTGGC